ATGCATAAGCCATCTGCCTCGATTAGTTCAAGACATCATTATTCAGATAATTCATATCTCGACATGAAAAACACATCTTAATGTTACCTATTTTTAGCTTCAAAATATTTGAAAGAAGTTTTAATTACATCCTTCTGTTTTAGAATACTCTTGCTATCCTTTCTCATTCTTTATATTTATTCGCGTCTGTCACTTTAACGCTCTTAGTTGTTTTTTCAAAAACTATTCAGTTCACTAACGATGAATGAAGAAAACATCTTCTTCTTGGAAGAAAGCTTCAATACACCGTATAAACAGTATGCGATAGATCATTTCAAAATCATTTCTTCCTTAGTTATTCCCATTTGGCGTTATTTCTAATATGTGATTGAGAAATATTCATATATCTTAGAGTTCTATTCGATAATATTGAATACTTTTTTGCTTTTAACTTAATTTGAATTACATAAAATGTTCAGATTATTCAGTAAAACAACTAATTACTTTATCACCCAGCAGGATTCTAAAAAAAACAAACCTACTAGATTTTTCTCCAGCACTCTTGCTTTTCAGAAAAAAAGAGAAAAGTTTCATAGCAATGCTCTGAGGATACCTTTCACTTATTATAATAGTGTGCACGACTTATCTAATAGATAAAACATTCCTATATATTCACTTCAAAGCCTTTACTTTGTTCATTCATTTATTTGTTTTTTCAAAAATCAATCCAACTTCTTTCATAGAACTATCGATAGTTGTCAAAAATTCTACTACAATAACTGTTGAATCATGGTTTATCCCTTTCGATGTTTTGATGCTTGTATGTACTAACTTGGCTATTATACTTGGTATTCTTTTTCTGTGTATTATAATTCTGGACAAAACATGTCATACAGTGCCAATGATGATAACTGCCAATACATGTTTAAGTGCAATTGTAGTAGGATGTAGTTTGCTAAGTATATGTGTATTTAGCCTTGAAAATGATGTTAAACAAATTCCATATGAAAATTTACTTTGTATTTTTCGAGGTTATTTAGGTTATGCTTCGTGTGCTGTGTTCGATTATTCATTTCTATTACAATCTATCTATCGATATATTACTGTTGTTTTTCCAGTTCGTTTATGCTGACAATCTGTAAGGTTTCAAACTTTAATAATTTTTTCAACATGGATATTTAGTTACGCGTTTCCTGCTGCATATTTGTTCATTAATGATATTATTTATAATGTCGGCAATCAAATATGTCAATTACCTTTTGGATTTTCTTTCTCTATAGGTTATGCGATACATTGTATCTATATAATTCTCGTGTCATTGATTATGTTTATTTATTTAAAATTAGTTCGATATGTACAAGGAATGAGTAAACCTGTAACACCTGTTAATATATTAGCTGGTGCAGAAAGAGAATTAAGAATGGGTTAACGTACAGTTATACTTGTAACAATATTATTAGCACTTGGTGTTCCATATACAATAATTATTTTCATGTCATTTTTCACAAATCCACAAAAATATCATTTTCCTATTGCTTTTATATTTATCGATGTATCATTAGCATTTGTGATGATTATTTTTATTTAAGTTTACTGATCCACTTCGAAAGTCTCTTATGAGAAGAGTAAATGAAAGAACAAATACGATAGTAGCAACAATAACATAAATGAAGAAAAAGCGAGAAAAATAATTGAAAACTTATTTGATGCTTTGTTGTGTTTTGTTAAAAGATGAATATGTTAAATTAAGTTTAAATTTTCAATATGAAATGCATAAGGGTGTGGGTGCGATTAAAGATACGAATCTTACCCACACCCACGTCCAAGTTAAATCATCTCGGCTTGATTCAGGCTTGTGANGGAACGTGGACTAAGGTATAAATTGTTGTCTTTTTGCCTTATTTATAAATCTAATTATTACAGCTTGGGGTTTAGAAAACAAATAAAATTCTGTTTTGTCTTTTGTTTAATCAATTTTTTTTGTCGAAGTGCAAAGAAAAAGATAATATTTCGTGCTCAAGGTACCCGTGGGTAAGTTTCCTGTGCGTATCTTTTCTAGATCCGAGTTATCTTATATGTTCAGTACAGAACTATTCTTATTTATAATAAAGTATCTATGAATGTGTTGCTGTTATTTATTCAGCTCGTTTGTTTTTTCCAATCAGTGAGATTTCAATTATTTCTCATTTGTTTGACTTGGATATTTGCTTTTATATATCCCATTGCATCCCTTTTCACTGGTCAAATTATTTATAATCAATTACGTATTTGTTTTGCATTTCGAATAATTTCTGCAGCCAATTTTGCGTATATAATAATTCCTGTCTCATTGACAATATTCATTTTATTATAAATTAGTTCAATAAGTGAAAGAAATGGATAAACATATAGCATCTGTTAATACATTATCTTGTGCAGAAAGAGAATTAAAAATCGTTCGACGTACAGTTATTATACTTGTAATAATACTCTTTACTCATTGTTTTTCTTATGGAATGTTTATTTTTAATCCTTAGCTCCCGGCGACGTATATATATGCTTGACTGCAGTTATTGAACAAAGATGGCACCAGCTTATTCTGTAATTATTTTGGAGAAGCATTTCTATCTGTTGGTTTATGAACTAGGGCCGTGAAATTATGCTAGGAATCTATCATCGCGATATTTGTCACGCATTCTCTTTCGTTATTTTACATATGGATAGTGTACGTCACAGTTTTTATTTTCTTTTTCTATATTCAGGTATATTTCTAATGTCTGACTTTACTGTTGGTATATTCCTCACGTATTGGTTATTCTCTGTAGGATTGTGCTCTCTTAGCTTATTATCATTTTGGGATTTTTCAAGATGGGGAAATTTCTTCTCTGTATCACATCATATAGAATGTTATGATCTGTAAGGTCATAAAAGGTATAGGTTATCCCACCTCCCATCTTGTACATATATCAAAAATAAATAAAAATCATGTTTAAACATTTCTTATAGAAATCTGGATTTTCGCAAAAAAAGCTGAGCGTGAAAGGGTTAATATCGTTTTTCATTGATCCACCAAAGTATCATTTTTGTATTGCATATATATTTCTTGATCTATCATTTCTATTTATACAAGTTGTTTTATTTCAATGTACAGATCCACTTAATACTTTCCTAATGAAGAAGATATATAACCAACCAAATACGATAATAGTAGTAGTGACGTAGTGACATAAATTATCTAAAATTAAAGAGAATTTTCACATTGTTTTGTGTTTTTTGTATTAATTTGAAATACAGGTGATTTATTTTGTTTTTTGGTAAATAATATAAATGATGAGTTAAAAATTAAATGAACAAGAGAATCCTTCTTCACAGATATGATTTTATGAAAGAATGATGGATGATATTAATAAAAGATATTGTGCTGATATTTTTATAGAATATATCGATATCATTTCTATTTCTGAATTATGATATTGAGAAAAAGATTCTTATCTTCAATTGAAATATTTATTTCTATATATTGGTCGATTATTCATATCGATCTTATCAATAATATAATTATACAACCAGTCGAATGATAAGTTTGACATTAGAAAAACTTAATCATTTACAATTGTTATTTTGCAACTTCAATTTCTCTTTCTTGACAACAATCATATATTAATGAGCATTTGTTTACCGTTTTTCTTCAATAGTTTTAATTTTTCTAATAATAATCTAGGTTAATAAAAAAAGATACATAAGCCATCTGCCTCGATTAGTTCAAGACATCATTATTCAGATAATTCATATCTCGACATGAAAAACACATCTTAATGTTACCTATTTTTAGCTTCAAAATATTTTGAAAGAAGTTTTAATTACATCCTTCTGTTTTAGAATACTCTTTCTATCCTTTCTCATTCTTTTTATTTATTCGCGTCTGTCACTTTAACGCTCTTAGTTGTTTTTTCAAAAACTATTCGGTTCACTAACGATGAATGAAGAAAACATCTTCTTCTTGGAAGAAAGCGTCAATACACCGTATAAACAGTATGCGATGGATCATTTCGAAATCATTTCTTCCTTAGTTATTCCCAGTTGGCGTTATTTCTAATATATGATTGAGAAATATTCATATATCTAAGAGTTCTATTCGATAATATTGAATACTTTTTCGCTTTTAACTTAATTTGAATTACATAAAATGCTCAGATTATTCAGTAAAACAACTAATTACTTCATCACCCAGCAGGTTTCTAAAAAAAGAAAACCTACTAGATTTTCTCCGACATTCTTGCTTTTTAGAAAAAAAGAGAAAAGTTTCATATCAATGTTCTGAGGATACCTTTCACTTATTATAATAGTGTGCACGACTTATCCAATAGATAAAACATTCCTATATATTCATATATTCACTTCAAAGCCTTTACTTTCTTCATTTATTTTTTTTTTCAAAAATCAATTGAACTTCTTTCATAGTACTATCGATAGTTGTCAAAAATTCTACTACAATAACTGTTGAATCATGGTTTATCCCTTTCGATGTTTTGATGCTTGTATGTACTAGCTTGGCTATTATATTTGGTATTCTTTTTCTGTGTATTATTATTCTGGACAAAACATGTCATACAGTGCCAATGATGATAGCTGCTAATACTTGTTTAAGTGCAATTGTATTAGGATGTAGTTTGTTAAGTATATGTGTATTTAGCCTTGAAAATGATGTTAAACAAATTCCATATGAAAATTTACTTTGTATTTTTCGAGGTTATTTAGGTTATGCTTCGTGTGCTGCGTTCGACTATTCATTTCTATTACAATCTATCTATCGATATATTACTATTGTTTCTCCAGTTCGTTTATGCTGACATTCTGCAAGGTTTCAAACTTTACTAATTTTTTCAACATGGATATCTAGTTACGCGTTTCCTCCTGCATATTTGTTCATTAATGATATTATTTACAATGTCGGCAATCAAATATGTCAATTACCTTTTGGATTTTCTTTCTCTATAAGTTATGCGACACATTGTATCTATATAATTCTCGTGTCATTGATTATGTTTATTTATTTAAAATTAGTTCGATATGTACAAGGAATGAGTAAATGTGTAACACCTGCGAATATATTAGCTCGTGCAAAAAGAGAATTAAGAATGGGTCAACGTACAGTTATACTTGTAACAATATTATTAGCACTTGGTGTTCCATATACAATAATTATTTTTATGCCATTTTTCACAAATCCACCAAAATATCATTTTCGTATTGCTTTTATATTTATCGATGTATCATTAGCATTTGTGATGATTATTTTTATTTAAGTTTACTGATCCACTTCAAAAGTCTCTTATGAGAAGAGTAAATGAAAGAACAAATACGATAGTAGCAACAATAACAGAAATGAAGGAAACGAGAGAAAAATAATTGAAAACTTATTTGATGCTTTGTTGTGTTTTGTTAAAAGATGAATATGTTAAATTAAGTTTAAATTTTCAATATGAAATGCATAAGGGTGTGGGTGCGATTAAAGATACGAATCTTACCCACACCCACGTCCAAGTTAAATCATCTCGGCTTGATTCAGGCTTGTGACATTTTTTTATCTTTGAACAGTCGTCATATATATTTAACAGGTGGAAGGTGGTCAATGTAACTGAATACCAACCTTTCAAAGAATGAGATTCAGCCTGTTTTACCGGTGTTTTGCGGGCTCGAACCAAACTTCGGTTCTATATGAACAGATGGAAATCCATACCCAGATTAGAGAAGTTCGATCGATTTTGGGCTCTCCCTCAAACGCAAAAGCTCTATTAGTACATTTGTAGTCTATCTTCACTATCTCTTTGACGATTAGAATGGGCCACTGAATGAATAATTAAGTTCCAGCTTCTTTTGAAAACAGAAAGTAAGGCACTACCGTAGAAATAAATTTGGAGTTTCGTTGCCTCATTTCAAGAACCTATTTCAAATACAAAAGGAATACGAAATATTGATGTATTATAACATATTTAAGCAGAAGACGAGGAGTTGTAGGTATTATTGTATTCGAATCATTGTCTCAGATATAAAGTACACATAGTATGATTATTTCTGCTGCATATTTGATTATCTTTTGTTTCATAACATAGAACTAGTTAGAATAAAAGCGAGAGCAAAAATCGCAATCATCAATGTAAAACTGCTATAGAATATTACAGTATTTGAAGAAATTCGCCCTTGAGAATCTATTACCTTGTACGTGATAAGAATATTTTGAACTGAATGCAAATTTGTTTGATCATTACATTGAGGTTGATTAGTTGGCTATTCGTTTCCTACTTGACACTGCTGTCAATTATGGATACATAATAGTTTTAAATGAAAGAAGAACGCTGATACTCATTACTGTAGTTTGTTTGGAGATGATCAGAACTGAATTTGAAACAAATTTCTCAGTTCAGACTCAATTAAAGTACTTAAAAATGTAATTTTCTTATTTTGCAGTTTCTGGTGGAAGTTCATAAAATAATATACTGGATTGATTTACTATCTTGATTAGAATTTATTTCGCATTAAAAATGAAATACAATTTAATCTGTGTCGCAAGCTTTGAGCGCTACAATAGATAAAATGAGTGACACTTCGAGATATGGCCACGCCTGACATTCTCACACCATCACTCTCATCATTTTGTCTATGTCCTCAAGACATGACAATCTCTAGCGTAATGATGTAATCAGAAAATCGTGCTTGATAAGATAGTGCCCCATTATCTTTGAGAGAATTAAGTCGTCTCGCAATCAACACCCACACCCGCCCCACACTCGAATCAGCACCAACTTTACCCGCAGGAAAACAAGAGAGTGACATTTTAGTGATCACCTATGCGGCTTGTCCAGACGTAACACTGTAACTATTTTGATATAATGTTTTGCAACTATCTTGAAAGGCATAAAAACTAATAAGTTCGTTCAAACGTCATTCGACGTTGTTTGTCATACTCTATTTATGCAACAAGAATGACTTAGTTTGACCGAAGTCTCGAGTTTCTAAGAAGGTTTTATCATCGCCCGAAACAGTGACAAGAAATACCTTTTTCTTTAGAGTCGCTGAATAAAACTCTGATATTTTGAGAAAGTATTTCTTCAATGGTAACGTTTACAAAACCATTGTGTAGAGCATCGAATGGACTTTCCAGCAGTAAACAATATTTTTTCTAAACAATTTTCGTTCAGATAAAAAATGCAAAACACAGACGTAACGCTCTGAGAATATTGTTTGCCGATCAATTTTGAAGTACTTAACTTGATCCGAAATATTTAATTCCCATACGTATTAGTCTTGCCGCACATATAACGTTCAAGCAAGAATCAGGTTGATACGTCCAAACCGAAGCTCATTAATTTTACAGAAAGTTGGTAACTGTACAAGAATGTAAAACTTTTCCATAGCGACGAAAATCCAAACCAAACAGACATTTTTGTAGAGATTTAGATTGTGCATCGGATGGTATGTCACTCAACATTTTTTTGAAAAGAATTCTTGGTTAGCAAATTCAAAATCCATTTTTTTAAAGAAAAAATATCAAATTCGTAATCAGCATGGAAAACTTTATAAAAATGTATTTAGATCTGTCCATCTCGGAAAAAAAATTTCAAAGACCTGGTCAGTGAAGTATCGCGTTATGTGAACAAGCCGTATGTTACCATCAATGAAATTAAAATCACACGATTGACGATCTTTAGATTCTATAAAAATGAAGCTATTATTTTTTGCGTTTGTATTACCGAAAATTCACAATAAGTAAAAGGAGAAAGGTTCATTTCAAGTTAACCATTACATTTTATTATTTGAAATAATACTAAAAAAAAATGTGATCTCATACTGAATGTATCTATAAAAACCTTTCTAAAGTACTTATGTTTTTTTCTTGTCCAATAGGCTTTTTTTCTATTCTAATAAGAGAACAGAACAAATATTACTAATACAAAAAAAAACATTGACATAGTCAGATTACGGTCGACGTATACATATATCGATTCTTACAGAATCAAAAAAAAAATATTCGATGATAGAACCATTTTTACTATTCGTATATATAGCAAAAATCTCTATTTTGATACAAAAAATTCAAGGCAAAACTGAATATGACACGTATTTTCATGTATTTTCAAAAGAAAATATTGATAAACCCATATCAGTTTTGTGGACAAATAATAAGAAATGGTCACAAGAAAAATCATTTAAACATTGTTCAATTAAATTAATAGCTCATGGTTATGCTGAACGATGGAATATGGATTGGAGATGGGATTGGGTTAAAGATATAAAAGATGAATTACTTAGTAATAAAACAAAGGAAAATCTTTGTGTTATTGCTATCGATTGGGAAAAAGGTGCACGAGAAATTAATTTTATTAGAGCTGTTGGTAATGCTGACATAGCTGGACAACATTTAGCAGAATTTATACAAAATAATAATATTGATCCTAAACTTTTACATTGTATTGGATTTAGGTAAGAAAATATATACAAATAATTTTTTTCATTTGAATATTTTTTCTTCGTTTTCGTTATAATATTTAGTCTTGGTGCTCACCTTTGTGCATTTGCTTCCAATAATTTGTTTACAATATCAAATAAAAAATATAAATTTGCACGTATAACTGGTCTCGATCCTGCTGGTCCACTTTTACGTAAAGCTTCTATTGATAAACGTTTATCAGCTGATGATGCTGATTTTGTTGATTGTATTCATACATCAGCAACATTTGGTTTACAAGAAAAAAGTGGACATATGGATTTTTTTCCTGATGGTGGGAACAGTAATGCAAAAGGATGTGAAAAACTTATTGATATTAAAGACGATTATGATATTGAGAAACGTTATCATATTAAACGTTTTTTCTTTGTTGATAAAAATCAAGAACAATATTTTGACAGTAGTGAAAATCTACCACAGAAAAGTTTCATTGAAAAGCTACGTGATCAAATAGGACTTATAACTCCATTAAAAGAAGTTTTTCTTAATATTCATGCTTATATTGGTTGCAATCATCTTCGATCACCACATTATTTTATATCATCAATTCATCAGTGTAAATTTCGCGCACGACTCTGTTCATCATGGTCGGATTATTTATTAAAACAATGTATTGATCCAATTGATAATGATTTAACTTATCCACGTATGGGTTATCATGCTGATCAAAGTGATCCTATATATCGACATGGGAACGGTAGTTTCTTTTTAAAAACAACACCAGAAAAACCTTATTGTTCACTCTCATGATCTTCCATTGAAAAAAAATCTAAAACACAAAAATCCTTGAAATTACAATTAAAAAAAACAAATTAAAAAACTTCTAAAAAAAGTTGGTTAAGAAAATAAAGCAAAACATAATCTATGAACGTGTGAGCAGTGCTTTGTTTTTCTTTCCTTGAATATTATACAAAATAAAACTGTTTGTAATCGATATATATATATCAATCAGAAAAAGGAAAGAAAAAAATTGCAATACCCCTACAAATAGAAAAAGAATGAAAATCGACCATAATAATGTATACAAGAAAAAAAAAGACCGACCGAGAAACAAAAAGAAGTATATAGCTCATTACACAAGCATACATGTAGATGTAAAAACGATCGGATGTATTCATTTTTTGAATATATATTAGTCAAGAAAGAAATAAAACTATCTTTAAATTGTAGATTTACAAAATAATCAAGCATAAATGAACACTAATGTTGTATTAATTCTCTGATCGATTCATTAATGGTATGGGTGTGGGTGTTGATGAAGAGAAGAGTCACAGTCACGGATACACGCAAACAGCCACGCACATCTGAAACTGTTCTCATTAAGATCAGTTGCTATCCAAAATTTCAAATTAAAATTCGAATATGAATTTTGGTGGAAGTGACCACAGCATTTATTTAAGCTATACTGAAGTATCTCCTCAGCAATAAGTTAACGACAAAAACTCTTTTTTGAGAATATTCGTAGCTCATTTGGATCGACATCGTGCACGTAGTCTCGACTCCAAAGTTATGCATCAGTCGAGAGAGTTCTCTCGTTCAACTGTTGCCATTCTTTTGTGAATTACGCTATACCTTCAGCTCCGATCATTTTTTTTTCTTTGTTATTTTCTAATCTCTGATAACTTTGTAATGAATTATTAATGGATAAGAAGAACACTACAAAAAATAAAATTTCCTTAATATGGTTTGGATCAGTCTATGTGAATGTCAAAAAAAACAAACCATTGCGCAGTATCCACACTCACACCCACACCAATACCCTGCTTGGAGAAATGTTCTCCAGAAACTACCAGATTTCGT